GTCCTGCGCGCAGCATCCCTTTTAAAGACATCGCTGGGCACAAAGGCGGTCTCCCAGAGCAGGATCCTAGGCTGAAACGAAACTTTCTTGGAATAAGTAAATAGCAAGGGTTTGTAGCCTGTTACTCCAGCAGAGCTCATCCTCATTTGCTCATCCTGCTGCAGTTTGCAGTGTGTGACCAGATACGGGTGGGTACTCGTTGTCTTCCTTCCTCTTTATATTTCCAGCAAAAACTTAGTGAAAAGAATAACAGCATCAGAGAAACACAGAGAGGAAAAAAAAAAAAAAAAGATGAGGCGGGCCGGCCCAGCAGCCAGCCTCAGGAGATGGTGAGACAGAAGAGCTATTCATTCTGAGAGCCAGTTGCTCTTCGCCCTGCTAGATTATAAATTGGACACCTTATTAAGAGCTGATCCTCCAGCAGCCCCACCCAGGGCTGTGCTCATGCGCTTAACCAGGGCAGCGTAATCCCATTTCACTAGTGATGCCTGTTACTGGATAAGCACATGTGCAAGCGTGGCAGAGCATACAGGGGAAAAAGAAGCAGCACTCTGGCTGTTTTCTGAATTGTCGGTTTAAGAAAAGAAGATAAGAGTCTTGGGAGAGAATGGGGAGGAGGATGGTTTGCACTAAAATTTGGACACTTCCATGACGATGCTAGCTGCCTTACCAAATGATGAAACTGACATAATTTTTGGTTTTATTTTTTTGCTTGTTTTCTCAGTTGTAACACAAAAATGCTGTCTCTCTGTCATGATGTGCCAGCCCAAATGTTGCTGCTGGAATCAAGCACTGGAAAAGCCTGACAAGATATAGCCCCACCAAGGCAGAGGCTTGGCATGGGCCTCTTTGGTGATTCCAAGTTTCAGTTGTGATGGTTTGTTTGGCCACTTACTTCTTGTCAGATGAGCCCAAAGGTCTGAACAAATTTAGGCAGATTTCAAGTTGAATGGTTGTTGCAGTAAAAATTTCATGGAAACTTTTGTTCAACATTTCAGCAAAGTTTTATCAACTTTGGCAAGACTTCCAAGGTTTTCAACCTTCACACACCTTTTAATCATTTGAAAAGTTGTCTACTTTGCATTTGAAATGCACAAAGTTACTGCCAGTTGTTGTCAGAAAAAAACCCCAACCTGATATGGGTTTATTTTTGTGCTGAAGAAAACAGGATGACTTATTATGAACCTGTTTTGGTGTCTCTGAACAGTATCCCTGCTCATACATGCACATTTTTCCTCCCAGGCAAGACCAGCTGGAGGATTCATGGAATGCTAGATGCATCATGATAATTCTGCACTGTCAGGGCATTTATTCTGCACAATGTATAGATACGTGTGGGGTTGGTTCCCCTACTGGGGCACCACTGCTTTACTTTCCTTGGCAGGGAATTTAAACATAGCTAGATGCATTGCAACTGAGCAGTGGTCAGGAAATGAAAAAGTAACATGGACATGCAACTTTAAAACAACATCCTCTCCCTGTGCAGCAGTGAGTTATGGACATGAATTCAGGTATATTTTGGTGGTATCTCAACTTTTTGCCTTGTTTTGCATCTCATATAATTGAAAAGCAATCTTTGGATTTGTTCTAGGAGGAAATAAATTTCTGTCAGATCTAATTATCATTATCATGACTCATTTGTCATTTGGAAATGTTTGCAGGATTCTCTCCAGGTTCTGAGTTGCTGGCTGTTACTGGTGTGTTGGAAAGCAATGACTCCTCAGATGTTCCTGTATACCTTTATCTATCTGCCTGCAATCATTTTATGAGCTCATGAGAATGAACACAAGACATCTTTGACATCCTTCTTTCTCATTTCCTCTCCTATTTTTTACATATGGTGCTTATGCCAATAACCCTTTCCTGGTAAAACAAAGCATCTGAATTCATGCTATGTATGTCTGTCTGTATATGTGATGCCATGTGCCTTCCTTTCTCATCTCCACCAAACTTTGAGCCTGTTGACAGAAGAATATGGATCTGAAAGTGAAACTCCTGTGAGTTTGAAAGAGAGGGGCAGATGTGTACAAGAAAGAGCCTGTTTGTGCTGAAGCATCAACATGCTGCCAGCCCAGCTCACCTCATCAGACACCAGGGAACTCTCCTGGAAGTCAGACTTCCTCCAGTCTCTCAGTCATGGGCTCTTTGCTCATGCTGATGGTTTTGGTACAGCTGGAACAGAGAAAGGAAAAAAATGTCCTGGAGTTTCTCTCTTGTTCTTGCACTTCTGAGATTTATGGATGTCTCTTGCAGGTTGTGTCCTAGGCAGCAGGGGACATCTGTCCCTGGTGCACACACCCTCCAAAGTGGGCATTTATTTTGTGACAGAGCAGTGTTACTGTCAGGTTTCAAGGTGTCATGTTCCAGGGGTGTGGATGCCCTTAAAGCAATTTTTGCTAAAGTCATGAAGGCTTTGAAAATGAGAGCAAACCCTTGAATTTAAGCTGGGACTGAGCAGTCAGCAGAGCAAAGAGCAGAGCTTAAGCTTGTTCGGTGGTCTTGTGCTGCTGAGTAAATGGCCAGAAGCACTCTTGCATGGGTTGTTCTAAGTCCATTAGGTTGTAGAAATCAAGCATAAGGACCAAGTCCAATCTTTTCAGTTATCTGATTGGAAATTGTGCTGAAGGATTGAAGCTTTTGCAGCAACGCTTACGGGGTTTTCAGGATGATGGAATCCAGATTAAATCTTCAGTTAGTCCTAATGCCAGCAATGGACATTATCAAAGTGTAAAATACTTTCCTATATCATCGTCAGCCCAGGCTCTTGCAACAATTCAGCTTCTGCCAGCTTCATTCACTTGCTGATCTTAGTCAAGCCCTTGAAGAGTTGAGTAATGGTGTTATTTGCATGGGAGGTGAAGAAGATAATGTGGAGATGAGATGGGTGTCATATGTGTACTGCTGACAAGTCAGTCTATGGTGCCACCGAATCTTCTCCAGAGGCTTTATATAGATATTGAACAGGCTGGGTGAGAGGAAAGACTCTTGAGTTATTCAGCAGGTGGAAAAGGTTTTGGAGGTTAAGGAAAGAGCAAGTGTTTATCATAAATCTCTTTGAGTGTACAAGAGATTTATGTAAGGGATGTCTGAAGATGTACCAGCTCAGTTCCATAAGGCTGTGGATGGCATTTATTTTCAAACAGCTGAGCTGGTTGGAAATTTTACAGCCATTCCAGATGCTTGCTACCAATCCTCTGCTGATGGCATCTTTATCCCTTGCTCTGTTCTTAGAAAAGGTTGTCCAAGGTCTTCCTATCTGTCAGGTGAAGCCTTTCAGATAGTTCTAAGTGCAGGCAAGGTGGTGCTTGTTAAGCCAGCAGACATTCCTTATGTTTAAGAGAGAACGCTTTTACTAACACTGCTTTACCCTGAGTTTTAGAAAAGAGGGAGAGGAGAGAAAGTGGCTCAGTTCTTTCCCACAGAACACAGACAGTTCCTGCATTGCCTCCTACAGGTCTGGAGACGTGTTTGGGACTGGATGCATCTGCTGGAATAGACTGTATTATTACTCCTGTTTCATGTGCATGTGCACTTCTACATTTTGTGCCAAGCATGTGTGTAAAATATGTGTGGTGTATTTATTTCTTACATGAGCAACTAAAATAGTGTATTTGGACCTGTGTCAGCCTCCTGTGTAAGCAAAGGCTCTAGGATGGTACACAGTGGGGTAGAAGCCCAGGTAACTAAGAGATAATTATTTTTCAGATTTACTAACAAAGCATTTACAAGAAATTGATATTAATTACATTAATTGATATTAATTACATTACTACCACTGTGGTTAAAGCTGAACCAGTGAGTTATAATAAAATCTTCAAGAATATCCAGTTGGGGCAATGAAGAAAGCTCCTGTACTCAAGGGATCATTGATAAATGGGAGGAAGGAGGAAGAAAATGGGCAGGTGGCTTTTAAGAGATCCTCTAGTTCCTACAGGCTTTCTACATCCCAAAATATAGAAAACTGTCAAAGATTCCTTGGTGCATGCACAGAAAAAACAGAGCAAGCTATAATACTGTGTGTGGCCTAATGGTAAATGTGTCTGTGTGCTGACAGTGCTTTAACACAGAGACACCTGCCAGTACTCACCACAACGATTTTCAGCTAGGGAAATGTGCTCTCCTTTATCAAATGGTAACCTCTGAGGACTGGTGAGACTCAGGAGTTGTCCCAGTATCCATGAAACAACCTGCAGCCTTTCTGAAATGTGGATACAGGAGCACAGTTCCTAAATTACTAATTTCTGGAGGAAAAACCCCTACTTTTCATATACAACTGCTCCTTTATTGTATGACACAAACCTGTGAAAATGGACCACCTCTGATTTCTGAGCCTAACTCCAAATGAGATCTCTAATTTACTGGTCATCCTGTTTCCAACTGGGCCAGATTGGAGCATCCTACCTTAACAACAGCCTGAAACTCTAGCGGAATTTGGACTCTGATCCAAACTCAAGGCACAGGCTCTTCTCTGAATAAAAATAACTAGATCACAAGCTATTCTCGGGTGGTGACTTTTAGACAAGAAACGTAGGGCTTACATAGGTTTTTACTCCTGTCAAATACATCTGGATGCTGCCCTCCTTCTAGCCGATATTCCCGAAGTTCTTTCATTAGCTGAGAGCCAAATAACCCTAACTGGAAGCTGGAAACTGTAGAACAACTGACATATTTCATGGTAAACACTGGTGGTTTTCTTGGTTGTTTTTTTTCCTTGCAGAATATTCTGCTACCCTGGTTGCTGCTGATGCTGATATAATTTCTGTCGTGGCCTGTGATGAATAGCATGAACAATGCTGGGTTGAGATAAGAGCCAACAGTGTGTTGGAAAGCCTTCTCTAAATAGGAATCTCTGTGGTTCTGACTTTCTTGACAGAGAGGTGGCTAAAATGATGTGCTTGGTGCCATTTACACGGCTGGCAAAGCTGCTGGTCACCGGCGCCTTCTCCCCTCCCACAGCACCTGCTGGCAAATCTTCTGGGATTTTTCCTGTTTACTTGGCTATTTCTAGTATAGTGATAGGAATAGTTTCCATTCACGAAGAATGTGGTGGGATAGAGATGGTTATAAGGGATAGGAAGCTGGGACTAAGGAGCAAGCACTAAAATACGGTTTACATCCGTGTGAGCTGGCTGTGTGTGGTACCCCACCGAGGGCATTCCCACTGTGCTCAGCAGATGGATGTTGGGAG